ATCGCAATAATAATAACAGTAATAATTACAATGATGATGAATAACAATGACAATAATTATAATTGTTTGCATTTGTTTACTTTTTATACATACAATTTATGGCCTTCTATGAGTTATATTTAACACTATGTAAATATTATGACGTATAGATAAATATTATTATTATTATTATAATCATTGCATAAACCTCAGGACCCCACCCCACCCCACCCCATCCCATCCCACAAGACTAATGAATCTCAGATTTTGCTTCTCACTTGCCTGTTCAGCCCATCACCTTGCACACAGTTTCCACCCCTCCACACCTGTCACCACACGTGGTCGATCTTTTGAGCAGATGTCAAAGTGATCTTCCTCCAAACATGCTAATAAGACAGCCTGTCAGTCAGGCATCCTGGCACCAAAGGTGAAGTCCACAACTCCTGACACAGACAACTGATGATGAGGCCTCTTAGAAACAGAGGCTATGTCCACTGTGATGCATCCCACTCAGCAGAGAATCCTAGCCTCAGCCACTTAGAAAAGAGGCCAAGACTGGCAGACTGCTGGTCCACCTGGACCTCAGAGGGAAGAGTGCGGTGTCTGGTCCCACCCTCCCCCACACAGATGAGAGCTATGTATAAATGGTGTGGGCCCCATGCACTACTGTCAACCCCTGGCACTCTGGGGAGAGGAGCCTGGGGCTGCCCCTACATATGCTTCTCAGCTTCCCTCACCACTTTCCAATCCCATCCCACCCTGGAGCAAGCCTCCATGGTGTGGGGAGGAGGCAGGACATTGAGGTAGAATGCTAGAGGCCTGCCTTCCTCTCTCCTGCAGTGTGGCTCATTTTTCTGCCCAAAGTCCCAGGGGACAAGGCAGTCCATTTAGGAGTCTAGGAGACAGAAGTGAAAGGACACTAGACAGAAATTTTAAGCTGTATGAAGAAATAAAGATCTCAGTAAAGGTAAATACATGGGCAATTATAAAAGCTAGCATTATTGTAACTTCGGTTTATAACTCCACACTGTTTTTTACATATTTAAGAGACTAATGCATTTAAAAAGCAATTATTAATTCAGAGAGGTGATGTATAAAGATGTAATTTTGTTACATCAGTAACCGAAAGGGGTGGAGACAGGACTGTCAAGGAGAAGAGTTCTTGTATGTTATTGAAGTTCTGATGGTCAATTCAAATTAGAGTCTTATAACTTTAGGATGTTAAATGTAGTCCCATGGTAACCACAAAGAAAATAGGCATATAATATACACAAAGGAAAATGAAAAGGGAATTAAAATATTTCAGTACAAAAAAATCAACTAAATACAAAAGCCAGGTGCTCCTGAAACATGTCCTAAAAACTGAGATGTCTTGAATGCTCCAAGTGGTTTCTGGAGGAAGGTGAAGTAAGATGTGCCCTTGACTTCTGGGTCATCATGCGAACAGAGCATGTGGTATTCCATTGAGACTCCTGGAAGTCTCCATGTCATTACACGGTGTGGAATTGTCTCTGGGGTCCTGTGGCAGATGGAAATGGGGATTGGGTGGGTGAAAGTTAGGGTTATTCCATTTCAGGAAGCCCTCTGGCCATAGATGGGAACCCCCACGACAGCCCTCAGAGACTTTGGTAAACAGAGGTCTGCTTCTTCTGTCTTCCGTAGGAGAGCCATAGAAGGATTTGGCACATCTGAGGGTCCTGGAGCCCATGGTCATTTTCTTCAGGGCACAATGTCCCCCTTCAGCATCAAGAATGGGTCCCCAGGGGATGGGGCACTGAGCCTAGGTAGGAGTGTTACAATCATGGCCTGGTATGCCAGAGGATATGCCTGCCTGCAAATGGCCTATCAATACGTCCTTGGATGACACATACCCAAGAGGCCTGGGAGAGCCCCACCCACTTCCTGGGATTTTCTTAAGGAGTCTGAAGGTCTCAACCACTTCAATGGATTTTTTATCTCTGGGACAAATGAATGGAGCTCTCAATTGGCCCCACAGCCAAGTGAGTTCTCACAAAGTTCATAATCTCTCCCTGAAAGGCAACATTGCAGAGAGATGCAATTCTCATAACTTTCGCCTTACTCCGTATTGTTACAAACGTGAAAATAAGTGATATGTGTATGTGTGTGTGTTGTGTGTGACAGTTAAAGTTGTTCAAGAGAAAAGTGAGATCTGCACAGAGGAGAAGTGCAGACGTCACTTCCACAAGTGCTTTTGTTCTTTCTTTCCAGCTGTGGTCCTTCTCTGAAGCTCAGACCGTGACTGGACTGTTGGGCCACAGTAGCCAAGGCAAAGATGATGCTGCAATCACATCAAAGGACGTAGATATTGTAGGTGACCAGAACAATATTTGCCATTTTCACCTTTTAAATAAGAATCACCAGTGAACCATAAGCAGCCAGCATCACATAATGCAATACATATATACCTTACTGCTAAATTGTATATCTGAAACTTACTGGATTTCATTAACCAATGTCACCATTAAAAAACAAGAAGCAGCAGCCAAGATCACCCAGAGTTTTCTGCAGATTATTGCAAAAGATCAGGAAGTGACTTGTCAGTTTTAAGCAGTTGAGAGGGCCTTCACCAGGAACCGAGGAAAGAGAAGTAGCAGAG